TCATTGCCGGTAATAGCACTATCAACAGAAGCAGTAACAACACCAGCAACAGCAGTGCAAAAACGAATGACTGTTGAAAATCACCAAATTTATGAAACACTGCCGTCAGCAACTCGACGTCGTCTAAGTACTCGTCGTCGACTGGTATCTGCGCCTTCCGGTGCTGGTGAAAATGCTGGCAAAACTTTAATAAAGAGTATTATAAAAGTGATACCGTCGGGCGAAAAAAAATCTTCACGTTTAACAAATTTGTTGTGTTTAAATGGAGTAAGAACAGAATTGTCAAAGGCGGTTATCATTAAACGGGCTGCAAACGGTACAGCATATATTCCACACGCATCTAATAAACGGGGTTTTATTCCTTTACAGAGCGTTTCACGCGAATCGCCAATTACGGACAGTGCTTCCGATTTACGGAATCGAACTGTTGACAGTCCACACGGATCACTAAGTCATTCTGAGGTAACATATAAATTATTTTAGATATAATCTATAACTTTGCCACTTAAATAAATTTTTTTTTTATTATTACGTATTTTTTTGGTGGTTTCCGGAGCGTGTACGCCTAACGGAACTTTCTAAAGCCAAACATCAAACCACTAGCTTTCTAGATGTGTTAGTTTATTTTGACGATAAAATTTGTGTCTGAGTAAAATTGTTTGAACACTACATAAATACCGTTGGACTTTTGAATTTAAAACATTTTAAAAGTCCTTGCTTGCAGTTAGTGATAATTTTCAAGAAAATTAGTTCATTTCTAATGCTGCTAAATCGGTTCTGAAATTTCATTTTTTTTTTTTTTAATTCTGTCTAATAGTGGGCTTATAGTCGAATGCAGATTCCTTTGAAACTTTTGATTGTTTTTTCCTGTTAGTTTTAATTTGTACGTAAATGTATAATCAATAATTAATATGAGCAGTTTTATGAAGGGCCAGAAAAACTTTGAAATAAGGGGTGATCCGCGGAACTTGATGACGAACTATTATTGTCAAAAGTCCCTTCGTGTTCACTTTGTTTTATGAAGTTAGACTTTTATATGATGTTAAGATTCAATTGCTCGACCTAGAGAATCGGTCCGTTTGCTAACTTATTTACCGTTTCTGCCACAAAGAAATGTCGATTCCCATCTTCACGGAATTTTTGGCACTATTAAAGTTGCCTGTTAAGACAGCGGTAGTCGGATGCAACCAGTAGCTGTAGCTATCCGTAATCACCGTCACCAGCATCAGCACTACCGACACAATCACTACTACCCGTCACTATCATTGCTTGACGTTGAGCGTCAGAAGTCATCGCCGTCATCATTGTTATCTTCTCTATTTCCCTATTTTCCTTTCTTTTACGTCTGCTAGTTGTCCTCGTTTTTTCCCTATTTCGTCTTGCCGCTGTGCATGGACAGACACTAATCGACATTGTACCGTATGCGATGGTCGTCTGATGTTTCATGAAGCTTTCAGAACTTCAACGAAATTAACGGGCGTTGATACTTGAGGTGTCGCATTGAATAGCATAAGCTGGCATCATCAAGGTGCTTATCGCTTACTTTAAAATTATACAAAGTTTTCATTTTAAATCGAATATTGTAATATCGTGTCTTTTCCTGTATTCCTTTTCTTCATTCTTTTATTTTTTTTTAACAGCTCTAGACTAGTAGCCTTTTTCGGCTGTTTTTTGAGTGGAAATTGATTAAAATTCTGTGCTGTACAGAGGCACTGCTATTTTTTTCGCCGTGGAGGTATTTTACTGTTGTTGTTATTATTAAAGTTTGTTAAAGTTTACTTTGTTTTTGGAAAATTTCAGCTGTCGACTAGTTGAGTTATTACAGTTCTTAATAAGGGAAAAGGACGAGTCGATTTCTTCATCATTTTCTGCTTTACGCTATTTTTTTTTATTTGGAAAAGTAGAAGAGATTTGTTTTGTACGATTTGCGGCATATAATGGTGGTAGTGGTGAAATGCCTGATGCGGTAGGAGTAGCAGCAGCGGCAGCAACTGTGGCAACTGTAACAACAACAACAACAACAGCATCAACAATAACAGGAGCAGATTACTGGTTTCTATCACTTTTCAAAACTCCATAAACTTTATTTTAAGATGAGAGAGATTTGAAAAGTTTTTTAAATACTCTTTTCAGAACAGTTACTCTTGGATCTAATTAGCATTTTTTGGTTACGTGTCAGCTGCTCAATATAAGTAGTCAATTAAGTTAGCAAAGAGAAAACGGTATCAGTTTTTTTTTTTTTT